TTATGTCTATTGTGCAATGCATTGACTGACTTTCTACCCCACCAGGACATCACACAAGCGATAAACACCCGATGACACAATGTGAAACTATGTGGGTGAGGATCACCGTGGAGAGGTCGCAGAAACCGCGTTCACCCCTTAGGCCATATTTATGGCCTGGCTATATTGCGGTCCCTGGCACGAGCAAGAGTAGGGCTTTAAAGAACGAAAAATTTCATCCTGAAAAGGACAAGAAGTATACAATAGTGCAATGCATTTATGTTATTGCCCTAATATATTGTGTTTATCTGTCCAGTAAAGAATGCGTTTTGTGGTCTCTTCTTTTTCTTCGGTGTGAAAGGAAGTTTTAGATCTGCTTTCTGCTTCTTGCTCTTCTGAATGCCTTGGGCATAGGCACGTCGTGTTGTTTTAAAGTTTCTCTGTTGCTATTTCCCCATCTTGGTCTTGTTCTGCCTCGTGCTTGATACCCTTCTCATCTTTTAGTGTGTGTCTTGAATTGTATGGCGTCACAAGGCATTCTCTTCAAGTGGTTCAACCAATGGATTTGCTGTCCTTGTATGAAAGACATTTTTTGTATGACATTTTTCCTGGTATCCATTTGTTTTGGGCTGGTTCGAGCTGAGAGTCGCAGGCAACTTATAACAATTAGCTTTTATACGGATTCGGACAAAAGACAGCAGGATCGGCAAAAAAGCATGTAGCCATTACAATCACCATCACCATCATCGTGTGACATGTCGGTAAACGTAGGCCTCATGGTTCTCTATCCCACCCGATCATAAAAATCAAGGAATAGATCCCTTTGTTTGTTTTAAACCTATCCCACCCATATCAGTTATCCAGGTATTTACCTTTAGGTTCTTTAATATTATTTTACCCCAGATGACGTCACAGGACAGTCCAACATTTTAGAGGGTGGTAAGATTGGGTTTCCCGGCTTTCTAATTCTTTTAACGACCCCAAAACATCTAGAACTGGCCCTAACCCCAACCCACCTACGTCCTACGAGAGAGTGCAGCCTAGGTCCCACTATTGCATGCAGCCTAGGTCCCACGACTGCATGCAGCCTATCCACCACCCCCTGAAATGTTACACTGTCCCAAGATCTGTGGATTTTCCCTGTTTGGGGTAGGATAATAATAAAGCACCACTCTTTGCCCCCTTCCTCCACCCCGCCTTTCCTTTTTAAATAACAGATGCCACATACAATAATCAAGCAAACATGTATTGATTAGCACTCATAGAAAGAAACAGAAAGATGTAAGGACACAAAAAGACGACATGAAAATCTAAAGCTATAGAGTCCATGGCGGGAATCAGATTTGTCACCTTCAAACACGACAGCGCTTTGCTGCAGAAACAAGTGTGCTAAGACGCATGGCTAGGTAGACCCCCCCCCCCCCCCCCACAAACTAATGTTTTAGTTAGCCATGTCTGTCGTATAGCGTTTATATCAAAGAAAAAGATAACTCCGAAATGTGACACAGCAACAACAACAACAAAAAAAAAAAAAGGGGGGGGGGGAATGTGCCTAACCAAGTCAATAAATTGAAGTATTTGGGGTCATTTATAACATCAGATGGACGATAAGTGAAAGAAATTAGGAGCAGAAATGGTCAGGCAAAGGCAGTATTTCAGAAGATGAAAAGTATCTTATAAAGCACTCTCATTAAACATCAGAAAACGAGCACTGAAATGTTATATCGAGCCTGCTCTGTTGTATCTTAGTGAATCTTGGAATGTGAGCAAATTAAGAAGAGTTTGAATGCAACTTAGATGTGGTTCTTAAGAAGAATTTTGCGAATACCTTGGACTGTCAGAATAGCTAACAATGATTGCCTGGAAATAGCTAGTGAAAGTAGAACATTATATGCAACAAAGAGAAGAAGACAAAGTTCTTTGGTCATGTGATGAGAAAAGGGGCACGGGATTCATTGTGACGGCTGGAAAGATCACTGGTAGCAGAGGAAGAGCAAGACCAAGATAACTGATGGTGGATGACTTAAGACAGTGGCATGGAGGAATATTATCAGTGGAATTGATCTAGAACACCAAACAACCGAGATCTGTGGAGATGTATGAACGCTGGCAAGGCACTTGAAGATGACGATGATCGTGTAGCCTGAATCCGCCAAGATAAAATACATATGGAGGTTCTGGTTGGTCGTGTGCCTCATTGCACCTGTTTCTACAGCGAGGCGATGTCGTCATTTAGAGGTGAAATGTTCAGTTACCGACAAGGATACTAATGCTTTTGATTGTTATGTTGATTCCAAGTATTTCCTATCTTTGTATTTCTTTCAATGAATACTAGCCAATATATGGTTACTTGTTTATATATATAAACACACATATATATATATATATATATATATATATATATATATATATATATATATATATATAACACTCTACGATTTCAAGGGTTCCTTATCTGTTTATTTCTATGTATTGCAAGATGTCAGCGTGTTTTCCAAGAGTTTATTTCTTATCATAACATGCCCAAAAATAAATTTTACGATCCATTAACTGTTCTCAACTGTCTAGATGAGGTTGGTCTCGTTTGTTTTTCTATCAATCCAAGATATTCTTTGCATTCCTTTCATCAAGCATGTTTGCTCGGTTAGTGATTGTTTTTCGGCTTATTTGTTTACTTCGTCCGTGTCTCACGTGCATATAACAACACAGGTTTCTTAAGCATTTAATACTATATTTCGTAGCTTTACTTTGGCTAGGACGACTGCATATGAGACTTTACAGTAAAACATCTGAGATGAAGGCGAGAGGAAGACAAAAAAGGAGATGGGTCAATGATGTAGACAAAACCTGCAAAAAGTTGAACAAATCTATCACTCAAGCCACCCCAGAAGCGCAAGACAAATATAGAAAACAACCACCCTGGCTATAACCTGGTAAAAGTAAGACGGAAAAAAAAAAAGAAGAAGACTTTGACTAGGTCAACGTCTGTAGCTTAGGCGTTGGAAACGCTCTTCGTAACGAGGGGTAGGGCAGGGTTCGATCCCAACTGCATGAGATTTGGCAGAAGACCACCTTGCATTGGTTTTGACTGTGGTATAAGGAGCTGAAGTTGAGTTGCAATGCCAAACTAAAGTTAGTTGCTTATCTTTTACCAGACGTTGCAGAACTAACCCTAGCATTATTTGGCGGTTGTGGTTATTCTAGGTAAATGTTACGTTCATTAGTTTGCCACGGCTCACTGAACGGTCGGCTCTCGTTACCACTGTCAAAACCAATGAAAGGCAAAAGAAATTGCATGCAGCTGGGATCGAACCGGGCACCCTGGGATTAGGAAGCTCACCACGCAACGTAAATTTGTTGCCTAGAGTAACCACAACAAGTCGGCTCTGTGGCAAAGTCGATGCGAACGCTTCGTAATGCTGGGGTGCCCGGTTCGATCCCAGCTGCGGGCTATGCGCCTTGTGTTGGTTTCGACAGTGGTATCAGGGAGCCGACCGTCCAGGGAGCAATGGCAAACTACTGGACGTAAATTTGCCTAGAGAAACCACACAACAGCCTGGGGCTGCTGGGTTTGGTTCTGCAACGTCCTGTAAAGGATACGCAACTAACCTTAACCACAACAGCCGAACAATGCTGTGACTGGTTCAGCAACGTCCTGCAAAGGATACTCGACTTCCTTTTACAGTTGTGGCTAGACAACGTTGAGCTGAGTTGAGTCAAGTTGGAAACCGTCATCCCAGCACTCAAGTAATCTCGACAACCTGATTTTCAGCAGCTAGTTTACAACTATAATACGGATGGCACCAGTAACAGTGTGTGTCGATCTTGTCTTTCCTCTGAGTGAAGCGTGTTGGCCATATGACAACGCAGAGTCTATAAAGCACCTCACCACTCTGTCTCACTGCTCATCGTCAACCAAGTCGCCTACTGGCTCGCCAGTAGACGAATTCGTCGCCCGTCAGGAGACAGTATTTGGGTCTGTCTCCTTTGAGACACAGCAGGAATCCTTTCCAGGGCTTTTAGTGACGTGCAATTTATATGGCGCATATAACCTAACCTAGTCACAATTATTACCTAAAGCTGGTAGAACGTGACGCTTTTTTTATCCGTCAAAGCATTGGACTAGATTGTCTCACTCGTCTGCAGTGTCCAGACAACGTAGAATCTACGAAACACTGAACAGACATAGACTGCCAAACTGCCAATTACTGGTAATCTAATCATCTTAGTTTCAGCTTCATAGCAAACGGGTCACCCCATAGTTGCTCCGCTCCTGTGCCAACTAAAAACATTAGGAATGTTTATCACAGTCCCTTGTGGAAATATTGACAAACTGCTGTCTCAACAAATGCACTAGCATACACACGCATTAAAAGCATACGGTAGCCATCCGAAGTGCTAACACAAACAGTCCGTCATTAGAAATGCAGTTCATCATGGATGATAGCAGAAGGTACTAGCAGATCAGCAGTTGCACACGCGATCAATTTTAATCACATAATGGCACCACCAATATTGCGACAGCAGGCACCGCGCCATTTTCTGAATCCACAGTTCACACCACCACGTTTGTCACAGTAGAAAAGCATTCCAAATGAAATCAGCAGCTCACAGTGTCACGCCATGCACTCAACTCAGAAGCTGGTCGACGAAACTGTCCTTTCAGTCAACAAATGGAGCAAAAATATACCGGCCGTCGTCTGGCAGAAATTAAAAAAAATTGCCACGGCTCACAACAGTAACCGTGCCTAGCGTCTATTTTGACCGGAAGGGTCCAATTAATGCCTGTTTATGCCATTTCTGCGGTGGAGGCAGGGGAGTCTTTTGAGCCTGAGAATTTACGGCCGAATGACTAGTGCTGTCGCCACGACTGTGCAGGTGAGGATTTAATTTTGCCCCCGACAGAAAAAATCCCCAGCCTTACCGAGGATTGGAACGCGGGTCTCCCGCATAAGAGCAGAGCGTTCAAGACGTTCGACCAGCCGTTCCTCACAGACATAGACACATTCACATAAACTTGCCTTTTTGAACGTTTTCCCGTTTGGTTGCACCTCATCGTCCTCACTAATCACATCCCGTGTGCCCAGACAGGGATGGCTGGAGTAGATATTGCATGCCCTGGAGAAGAGATCGTCCAGGGTAGTACATTCAGGGAAGATGGACGTTGTTAGACCAGTCGATGGAACATCAACAGATCTCCATGGATCCGAGGGTTTCCCTGACACTGGCTTTGCCTGGCATGGAGATAGATATAAGCAATGACCACGGCGTAAAAAATTACATGGAAAGTGTTAACAACAAAGATGTCATGCTGACTGACAACACCCCTCTCACTCCACACATACACACATAAACAAACACATTTTAATAGAAAGGCACCGAAATTCTAAGACTTATCGACGCCTGGGTGGCTTACTGTTCCTCTAAGTGGGAACTCGATCGCTGGTCCTAAGATGGTCGTGTCTGATAATAGCATTAACACTAGGGTACTTGGTGGCGAGCAGTTTATAGCAACGAATATGACTACAGTATAACCAAAAGCTCCTCTTTGGGTTATGCTGGCTGGCCGTAGTCGAATGAAAAACAACAATTCTAAGACTCAAACATTTCATATAATTCTTAAAAGAACAAAGGCTAAAATAGTTAGGTTATCTGACCACAAAAAGTGGTAAAGTACCCCCCCCCCTGTCCCCCCCCCCCTCCAAACTCAAAAGGCACATCGGGTATATGGAGCTATGGAAGAAAATAATTAAAAAGAGACTTAAAACTCACTGGGTCCACTCATCAATCCACACAAATGTTATGAATCAATAGCGTACCTTGATCCTCTTTGACTTCTGAAGGACCCTGTCTGGTCTCTGAATGATGAAATATGGAACAAACGTGATGATATCTATAACAAAGGCCAGGAACTTTAGTATCAAAACTAACACTTTCACTGTGGCTTCTGACATTCTCTAGATGAAAGAAATCTCTGGTGCTTTCAACTTATTGATCCAGGCATAGAATTCCTAGTTTCTCAGCTTGAAGAAAGATTTGGCGGCCTAAAACTTGAAGATACCTAGAAAAAGATAATAAAATGTTTACAAAATAAAAAGAAAGAGTAACAATTGACTGTAGAAACACTACGAAACACACAGAATATCTCAGTGTAGATAAAAGTCTGCAAGTCGTTTCCTCTGAGCTTTGAATATTGTCGAGACCCTGCACTGACTTCTTGCTGAATCATTCTCCAATTGTAGAGACTATTTTGCTGCACCGCCTACTTGATCTGAGATGTTGGCCTCCCCAGGTGCGCTTCATCACAAAGTAGCTCAACGCCAAAGGAGCGGCATCTGCCAAACTATCAAGCTGCTCATTACCTTGTGCCCCTGAGCAGAAAATCCTTGAAAGATACGAAAACACAAATGTAAGATGTTTTTTCCCCCAACTATATTAGCATTACTGTTGTTTCTATGTAGGATGCAATTTTTAGTTATTTCGAAGCTCAATCCTAGCTTTTGCGGGGGAGGGGGTGGGGGGGGGGGGGCAAATATAGCTGGGCTTTAAATATTGCCTAACGGCTGAACAGGAATTCTGGGACCTCTCCACGGGTGATCTTCATACGCATGGTGGCACTTTGTGTCACCGGGTGTTTATCGCTTGTGTGATGTCTTGATGGGGTACAACTTACCTACCTACCTTTTCCCAACACCGTCTGCCGCGTAAATAGAAACTTGTTAAGTCGTGGATTGTGAAAACACACTCGTCAACCCTCTTCGCCACTGGGCCACGCATACAGTTATTGTAATTTCTAAACCCTCTCTGTCACATGCTCTGTTCTCAATTCTCAGCAAAGCTTAGAGGGACATCCAGAGGTAGGACTTAGTACAAATGAAAGACACAAACTTAGACAGAATTCACTGCTTGTGTAGACACTACAGTGAAGTGTTTGATAGACGTAACAAGATAATCTTGTGAGTGAAATTGCTGAATGGCTGCAAAGTATTTAAGATCGTATTTACTAGGTTATAGTTCTCTCAGATATGGTAAAGGTTATGGTACCTTGGAAAGAGAATGCTATGATGAAGGAAACTAACATTTGTTCGCTGTCGTTTCTTCTTCTTCTTCTTCTTCTTCTTCTTCTTCTTCTTCTTCTTCTTCTTCTTCTTCTTCTTCTTCTTCTTCTTCTTCTTCTTCTTCTACTTCTACTTCTTCTTCATTTTCTTCTTCTTCTTCTTCTTCTTCTTCTTCTTCTTCTTCTTCATCTTTTTCTTCTTCTTCTTCTTCTTCTTCTTCTTCTTCTTCTTCTTCTTCTTCTTCTTCTTCTCCTTCTTCTTCTTCTTCTTCTTCTTCTTCTTCTTCTTCTTCTTCTTCTTCTTCTTCTTCTTCTTCTTCTTCTTCTTCTTCTTCTTCTTCTTCTTCTTCTTCTTCTTCTTCTTCTTCTTTTCTTCTTCTTCTTTGTCTTCTTCTTCTTCCTGTTGAAGCTAAAACAAAAGTACTCTCCGTTCTTCTGTTTCTCCTATCCTCGGATGAAAAACATATTCGGAGGCCAGAAGCCTCGTTGACAGTTATCGTGCAATCTAAATTTGTATGTGCACCAAACAGCCTTGTCTTCATTGAGGCTTGAACAGGTTAGATGACATTAGTGTTTCGGGTACAAGCTCAGCAATTTCGGGCTCCATGTTAAATGAACACATCTGCGTACAGGGGTACTGTTGACCCACAGAAAGCATCACACAAGAACGAGACTCCATGGCTTTCAACCACGACTATGGGGATTTCCGAGGCAGCTTCACTTTCGAGCAGAACATTATACAATCATCCCATGTGAAGTAATATTTGTTCTTGTTGTTGTTGACATTATAGTTTACCCTGACTGGACTTCATGTTACTTCGCAACCGTCTTCTTTTTCTCCAGCATTCCAAGCCCTTCAAGTTCATTGACGCAGATATCACCCGCCTCCACTCATCTCTCTGGTTGGCCTTCTGCAGCGTTCCAAGCCCTTGAGGTTCATTGCTGCAGATATCACCTGCCTCCATTCATCTCTCTGGTTGGCCTTCTCTTTCCAAGTGTTTGCAGGTCTTTGTGAAATTTATTTCTCCATCGTCTTCTTTATCTGTCTCGTGGTCTACGACACTTCATCTCTCTTGTGTATACAGTTTTTACCTCTCTGTCATCTGACATTCTCTCAATATACTCCAGCTATTTCAGCCTATTAGCTCTCATGATGTAAATGATCAATGGTGATTTAAACAGATTAGGACTGTCGTTATCTCACTCTCCATCCCTCGCTGTTACATCTTTGATGGGTCCAAAGATTCGTCATAATACGCTGTTTTCGAAAACCATGTAGTATGTCTTTATCTCTTTAAGTTGTGCTCCAAGTTTCAGAGCCATATAAAACGATTCGTCACCGACACAACGCCTTACATAACCTTACGGGTAAATAGAGTTTTTGGGGCCCGACCTGCGGGATTCTCTTCCGAGTAATGATGCACTGCAATTTGTGTCACATGGTGTTTATTGCTCAGTGTACGGTCCACTCTCACTCACATACTTTCGAAAGACGTACTACACAACAACAACAAACAATAAAAACGAATAGACAACTTTTTCAAGAACTGACAAGAAATACCCATTCACGGGATATTTAAGTATTCGCGGTCGTATTCTGTCTGGGAGGGTGCTGAAGATAATGAGGACGATTGTTAATCTTTAGGAGTACCTACAATATGTGAGGAAATAATGCCAGTCTGAGAAAAGGCACAAAGAAAATCTGTATTCATCTCTCCCCATGGTTCGAAGATGTTGAGATTGGGAATGTGGTCACGGTAGGAGAGTACAGCCATCTTTCCAAGACTGTCATGTACACAATATGTTGAAAGTGACCAAGACTTCAGGCTCAAAGAAAGACTTGACTGACTGACTGACTTTCCAATCCACTAGGACATCACACAAGCGATAAACACCCGATGACACAAAGTGCCACCATGTGGATGAGGATCACAGTGGAGAGGTCCCAGAAACCGCGTTCAGACAATTGGCCATATTTATGGCCTGCCTATATTGCGGCCCCTGGCAAAAGCCAGGGTGGGGCTAACAAAAAATTTCGTCCTAAAAAGGACGAAACATTTATTAACGAGGTATTTGAAAGAAAGACTTCAGCAAAGTTTGAACCTGTAGATGTGTCATCTCAGCAGCAAAACAGGTTTTAAAAGTCTAACTACCTCGCCAGCAAGACAGCCTAATAAAACCACAGTAAGCCAAGTGTTCAAAATAATAGTTATTACCATTTCAGACATGTCATGGCAGATTATTGGTTTTAGAATTTGAACAGAACATAGCTGAAAAGTTAACTAGAGGGAAAAACGAAGTATAATCTCTACAGCAAAGGTAATGGTAAAGGTGAGAGAATCAACTTCATTGCACCGAATTTTATCCCATATGGCTCTGTCTCGCTTCGCAGAAGATCTAGCTTCCTGCCCAGAGCACGACCACCGTAGCTCCGGCGACTATCCACTCACATTTCCGTAAAATGTGCACTCAGGAACTTAACGGCGCCGCGGTGAAACTATCCTAATACCTTCAGAGGGTGAGGCCAACGGCTTGACCACTTCGGCACGGAGACCCCGAAACTCTCGGCAGAAATGAGCATGTAAGGGCAAGCAACTCAAACTGCAGAACACGTAGCTGCCATTTTACTGAGAACCAACAGATTTATTATATGGTTGGGCGCCCAAACGAAAAGACACGGGAGATGGGGGTGGGGGGCGAGGTTGACTCAGTTTCTTATAATCTGCTAAGGATGGGGCCTCATGGGGCTTAGGACTTGTTAAATTCACAATAATAATATAAATAATAATAATAATATTAATTCTTGTATTCTTACATTCTCTAGAAATAACACACACAAACGCACGCTTGCACACAGCAACACGCACCCACACACAAACGCACCCACGCACACAGAGTTCAATTTATAATTAGAAATCTAAACGTGGGAAAATACAATCGAGTATTTCGATCAGTCTTTATTAACTTACAAAACAAACGATTAAGAAAGCAATTGGCAAAGTCAACACAGAACCTGAAAACTTGAAAAACATGACAGGAAGAGCTAGAAAGACACCCCCACCATTCCCCCCCCCCCCCCCCCAAAAAAAAAATTTGAACATTGATCATTGTGTGGTTCAAATAGCAGTTTAAAATACGAGCATGCCTAGTCAAAGGAATATAGATAAGCCATGCCAAATTTAAAAGAAAAGGAATGACTATTAGAATAAGACTCTGTAAGCACTAATGCCCAATGCGTCACTTAAATTACACCCAGCCCTGAGACGTAACATCCATTCTGATAAAATGTTCATATTTTCTGTCAGGTAATACATATTATAATATTAGTTGGCAAACAGGTATGCTCCGTGCAACGTGCAAGCATCGCTTCAGAGGCCCTGATTCGCAAGAGTCCTTTGGAAATTTTCTCCAGGGTTTGCCTGTGTGTAAGGAAATGAACATGTAGATGACGTGCTGGTTCCGTACTACCTTGTAGTAAATGGATGCATGACAAGCCAGATGTTGAAAGGTTCCTTTGGGGACGAGTAAACAGTGAGTTGACACAAACAGATCACCACGGTCCGAAGAGAATGGTGCAGCGGGAAATTACCAGGGAAATCTGGCTGACGCTCAACACTCAGGAGAATGGCGAGACGGATATACAATGAGACTGTTACTGATACCATCGGAATTGGAACTCCGCGCTTGCTGCTAGAGATGGGAACAGAACTATTTTGGGAATTTCCCGAGTTCTCTGATGTCGGTTGTTACGAGAAACGTATACGTGTGAAATGTTCTACTGGAAAGAAAGAAATGTGATTTCTATCGGAGATACGTTAGTATCTTGTATTATTTTTCGTACTAGATTGATGTATTATGCTGACGAATGCTGTTTAGCTGCAACGTTCACTTGTTATT